AACCAAAGTTTAGAAGCCAAACATTCACTTTCGGCGACTAATGGTTTAGTCACCAAAAGATATCCTTTGCCGACTAACCAAAGTTTAGAAGCCAAACATTCACTTTCGGCGACTAATGGTTTAGTCACCAAAAGATATCCTTTGCCGACTAACCAAAGTTTAGAAGCCAAACATTCACTTTCGGCGACTAATGGTTTAGTCACCAAAAGATATCCTTTGCCGACTAACCAAAGTTTAGAAGCCAAACATTCACTTTCGGCGACTAATGGTTTAGTCACCAAAAGATATCCTTTGCCGACTAACCAAAGTTTAGAAGCCAAACATTCACTTTCGGCGACTAATGGTTTAGTCACCAAAAGATATCCTTTGCCGACTAACCAAAGTTTAGAAGCCAAACATTCACTTTCGGCGACTAATGGTTTAGTCACCAAAAGATATCCTTTGCCGACTAACCAAAGTTTAGAAGCCAAACATTCACTTTCGGCGACTAATGGTTTAGTCACCAAAAGATATCCTTTGCCGACTAACCAAAGTTTAGAAGCCAAACATTCACTTTCGGCGACTAATGGTTTAGTCACCAAAAGATATCCTTTGCCGACTAACCAAAGTTTAGAAGCCAAACATTCACTTTCGGCGACTAATGGTTTAGTCACCAAAAGATATCCTTTGCCGACTAACCAAAGTTTAGAAGCCAAACATTCACTTTCGGCGACTAATGGTTTAGTCACCAAAAGATATCCTTTGCCGACTAACCAAAGTTTAGAAGCCAAACATTCACTTTCGGCGACTAATGGTTTAGTCACCAAAAGATATCCTTTGCCGACTAACCAAAGTTTAGAAGCCAAACATTCACTTTCGGCGACTAATGGTTTAGTCACCAAAAGATATCCTTTGCCGACTAACCAAAGTTTAGAAGCCAAACATTCACTTTCGGCGACTAATGGTTTAGTCACCAAAAGATATCCTTTGCCGACTAACCAAAGTTTAGAAGCCAAACATTCACTTTCGGCGACTAATGGTTTAGTCACCAAAAGATATCCTTTGCCGACTAACCAAAGTTTAGAAGCCAAACATTCACTTTCGGCGACTAATGGTTTAGTCACCAAAAGATATCCTTTGCCGACTAACCAAAGTTTAGAAGCCAAACATTCACTTTCGGCGACTAATGGTTTAGTCACCAAAAGATATCCTTTGCCGACTAACCAAAGTTTAGAAGCCAAACATTCACTTTCGGCGACTAATGGTTTAGTCACCAAAAGATATCCTTTGCCGACTAACCAAAGTTTAGAAGCCAAACATTCACTTTCGGCGACTAATGGTTTAGTCACCAAAAGATATCCTTTGCCGACTAACCAAAGTTTAGAAGCCAAACATTCACTTTCGGCGACTAATGGTTTAGTCACCAAAAGATATCCTTTGCCGACTAACCAAAGTTTAGAAGCCAAACATTCACTTTCGGCGACTAATGGTTTAGTCACCAAAAGATATCCTTTGCCGACTAACCAAAGTTTAGAAGCCAAACATTCACTTTCGGCGACTAATGGTTTAGTCACCAAAAGATATCCTTTGCCGACTAACCAAAGTTTAGAAGCCAAACATTCACTTTCGGCGACTAATGGTTTAGTCACCAAAAGATATCCTTTGCCGACTAACCAAAGTTTAGAAGCCAAACATTCACTTTCGGCGACTAATGGTTTAGTCACCAAAAGATATCCTTTGCCGACTAACCAAAGTTTAGAAGCCAAACATTCACTTTCGGCGACTAATGGTTTAGTCACCAAAAGATATCCTTTGCCGACTAACCAAAGTTTAGAAGCCAAACATTCACTTTCGGCGACTAATGGTTTAGTCACCAAAAGATATCCTTTGCCGACTAACCAAAGTTTAGAAGCCAAACATTCACTTTCGGCGACTAATGGTTTAGTCACCAAAAGATATCCTTTGCCGACTAACCAAAGTTTAGAAGCCAAACATTCACTTTCGGCGACTAATGGTTTAGTCACCAAAAGATATCCTTTGCCGACTAACCAAAGTTTAGAAGCCAAACATTCACTTTCGGCGACTAATGGTTTAGTCACCAAAAGATATCCTTTGCCGACTAACCAAAGTTTAGAAGCCAAACATTCACTTTCGGCGACTAATGGTTTAGTCACCAAAAGATATCCTTTGCCGACTAACCAAAGTTTAGAAGCCAAACATTCACTTTCGGCGACTAATGGTTTAGTCACCAAAAGATATCCTTTGCCGACTAACCAAAGTTTAGAAGCCAAACATTCACTTTCGGCGACTAATGGTTTAGTCACCAAAAGATATCCTTTGCCGACTAACCAAAGTTTAGAAGCCAAACATTCACTTTCGGCGACTAATGGTTTAGTCACCAAAAGATATCCTTTGCCGACTAACCAAAGTTTAGAAGCCAAACATTCACTTTCGGCGACTAATGGTTTAGTCACCAAAAGATATCCTTTGCCGACTAACCAAAGTTTAGAAGCCAAACATTCACTTTCGGCGACTAATGGTTTAGTCACCAAAAGATATCCTTTGCCGACTAACCAAAGTTTAGAAGCCAAACATTCACTTTCGGCGACTAATGGTTTAGTCACCAAAAGATATCCTTTGCCGACTAACCAAAGTTTAGAAGCCAAACATTCACTTTCGGCGACTAATGGTTTAGTCACCAAAAGATATCCTTTGCCGACTAACCAAAGTTTAGAAGCCAAACATTCACTTTCGGCGACTAATGGTTTAGTCACCAAAAGATATCCTTTGCCGACTAACCAAAGTTTAGAAGCCAAACATTCACTTTCGGCGACTAATGGTTTAGTCACCAAAAGATATCCTTTGCCGACTAACCAAAGTTTAGAAGCCAAACATTCACTTTCGGCGACTAATGGTTTAGTCACCAAAAGATATCCTTTGCCGACTAACCAAAGTTTAGAAGCCAAACATTCACTTTCGGCGACTAATGGTTTAGTCACCAAAAGATATCCTTTGCCGACTAACCAAAGTTTAGAAGCCAAACATTCACTTTCGGCGACTAATGGTTTAGTCACCAAAAGATATCCTTTGCCGACTAACCAAAGTTTAGAAGCCAAACATTCACTTTCGGCGACTAATGGTTTAGTCACCAAAAGATATCCTTTGCCGACTAACCAAAGTTTAGAAGCCAAACATTCACTTTCGGCGACTAATGGTTTAGTCACCAAAAGATATCCTTTGCCGACTAACCAAAGTTTAGAAGCCAAACATTCACTTTCGGCGACTAATGGTTTAGTCACCAAAAGATATCCTTTGCCGACTAACCAAAGTTTAGAAGCCAAACATTCACTTTCGGCGACTAATGGTTTAGTCACCAAAAGATATCCTTTGCCGACTAACCAAAGTTTAGAAGCCAAACATTCACTTTCGGCGACTAATGGTTTAGTCACCAAAAGATATCCTTTGCCGACTAACCAAAGTTTAGAAGCCAAACATTCACTTTCGGCGACTAATGGTTTAGTCACCAAAAGATATCCTTTGCCGACTAACCAAAGTTTAGAAGCCAAACATTCACTTTCGGCGACTAATGGTTTAGTCACCAAAAGATATCCTTTGCCGACTAACCAAAGTTTAGAAGCCAAACATTCACTTTCGGCGACTAATGGTTTAGTCACCAAAAGATATCCTTTGCCGACTAACCAAAGTTTAGAAGCCAAACATTCACTTTCGGCGACTAATGGTTTAGTCACCAAAAGATATCCTTTGCCGACTAACCAAAGTTTAGAAGCCAAACATTCACTTTCGGCGACTAATGGTTTAGTCACCAAAAGATATCCTTTGCCGACTAACCAAAGTTTAGAAGCCAAACATTCACTTTCGGCGACTAATGGTTTAGTCACCAAAAGATATCCTTTGCCGACTAACCAAAGTTTAGAAGCCAAACATTCACTTTCGGCGACTAATGGTTTAGTCACCAAAAGATATCCTTTGCCGACTAACCAAAGTTTAGAAGCCAAACATTCACTTTCGGCGACTAATGGTTTAGTCACCAAAAGATATCCTTTGCCGACTAACCAAAGTTTAGAAGCCAAACATTCACTTTCGGCGACTAATGGTTTAGTCACCAAAAGATATCCTTTGCCGACTAACCAAAGTTTAGAAGCCAAACATTCACTTTCGGCGACTAATGGTTTAGTCACCAAAAGATATCCTTTGCCGACTAACCAAAGTTTAGAAGCCAAACATTCACTTTCGGCGACTAATGGTTTAGTCACCAAAAGATATCCTTTGCCGACTAACCAAAGTTTAGAAGCCAAACATTCACTTTCGGCGACTAATGGTTTAGTCACCAAAAGATATCCTTTGCCGACTAACCAAAGTTTAGAAGCCAAACATTCACTTTCGGCGACTAATGGTTTAGTCACCAAAAGATATCCTTTGCCGACTAACCAAAGTTTAGAAGCCAAACATTCACTTTCGGCGACTAATGGTTTAGTCACCAAAAGATATCCTTTGCCGACTAACCAAAGTTTAGAAGCCAAACATTCACTTTCGGCGACTAATGGTTTAGTCACCAAAAGATATCCTTTGCCGACTAACCAAAGTTTAGAAGCCAAACATTCACTTTCGGCGACTAATGGTTTAGTCACCAAAAGATATCCTTTGCCGACTAACCAAAGTTTAGAAGCCAAACATTCACTTTCGGCGACTAATGGTTTAGTCACCAAAAGATATCCTTTGCCGACTAACCAAAGTTTAGAAGCCAAACATTCACTTTCGGCGACTAATGGTTTAGTCACCAAAAGATATCCTTTGCCGACTAACCAAAGTTTAGAAGCCAAACATTCACTTTCGGCGACTAATGGTTTAGTCACCAAAAGATATCCTTTGCCGACTAACCAAAGTTTAGAAGCCAAACATTCACTTTCGGCGACTAATGGTTTAGTCACCAAAAGATATCCTTTGCCGACTAACCAAAGTTTAGAAGCCAAACATTCACTTTCGGCGACTAATGGTTTAGTCACCAAAAGATATCCTTTGCCGACTAACCAAAGTTTAGAAGCCAAACATTCACTTTCGGCGACTAATGGTTTAGTCACCAAAAGATATCCTTTGCCGACTAACCAAAGTTTAGAAGCCAAACATTTCACTTTCGGCTACCAAAAATAGTTGAGTTGCCAATACTATCGCCGACAGGGTATAGGCGACGTCCTTGGCGACAAAAGAATTTAGTCGCTAATTAGTTTCAGCGGCCAAAATGAGACTTTTGGTGACCAATATTTTGATCACCAAAACTGTCATTTCCTGTAGTGTAGGATTTAATTATAATACAAAATAAAATACAGAAAAATTATTCTTTATTAGACCATTTTGTAAAATTTTATGAAATTAAAGACTAAAATGCAATTGACCTAAGGCTTAGAGTTTCTAGTGTGATTACCAAAAATTGGGATCTCTACAAAATTCCTTTTCTTCAAGCTATGTATCTTTATACACTTACAATATAAGAGGGAGTTGCTTTTATCTATAGTAGAATGGCTCTCTTTTTTCTTGCCATTCCTGCCCTTGTAATTTTGTGTTGTGTTTTTTGTTTTTCACTTTTGCTGTGGGACAATTCTGTAATCTCACTGCTACTCTGTTTTTATGAGGTGAGCCAGCCACGTCTCCTACTTATGTACTCTCCATCTATTTTCTTTGCTTTTCTACTTTCTCACCATTTTGTCTCCTCCCTCAACTTACATCCTCTGCGCCTCTCTCTCTCTTTTAACGCTGATCGGCTCTCTCTCAACCGTTAACGACGATCACCACATTCACGATGCCGGCAACAACTACAAGCGTATCTCAATCACTGCGGAGGCTTATCTCCATCTACGACCAGAGAACTTCCGACTCCAATTTAGGTAAACAGCTTCTTTTCTCTGCTCTTGATTATTGTAATTGATGAAGAACTTTTTGCACAATCGCAACTCCTCGTTCAGAGTTCTCTATATCTCTTCTCTCCTCTATGCAACTTGGCAAACCCCTTTCTCTCTCCTCTCTTCATCTTCCACCCTCAACTCTGCCCTTCTCCTATTTACATAACCCTAGACCAAAACCCCCTTCTATGAACCCCAATTTACCCATTCTGATTCTTATCTCCTTTACGAACCCCCCTTTACCCATCTCTTGACTTCCTTTTTTTGCAAAACCCTCTTCTTAAACCCTTTTCCCCTTTTGCATGTTTGCTTGATTTGGTAGTTTTAGTTCCATTTACATGTTGACTATGTATATTTGAAATTTTGGCTTGCTTTGTCTCTTGAGATTTGTGCTCATCTGTTTAAGTGGTTTTTTGCAAGTTAGCAAACTCTGCTTTTTTTCTTTTCCTTTTTTTGCGAGTTTTTTTATTTTGTTTGGCATATCTTTGCATAGACAAACTTGCTTAAGGTGATCGTCATACGAGTATATGATTAATTTCATTTAATTTGTTTTTAACTTTTTGTTGTTAATCTATTCAATGAGAATTTGATTTGTTTGTCCTTCATATTTTATTTTAAAGGTGGTAAGGCATCACTAATGAATTAGTGTACTTAAAGCATGCGGCTTGGGCACTTCCATTGGCGTCCACCTTCTATCCTGTTGAAGATTTTTAAAGGTATATTTGCATATGTATGTAATGCATCTCCAGAGGCAACGTATGTGTATCGGACATGGACATGCGTCGGACACACGGTGGACAAGTATTCGACACTCTACCGAAGGTGTCCCTTTTTGTTTTTGAATTTTTCCAGTCGGACATGCTTGGGGCACTCTCTTGGACATGTTATGGATAGAGAGGGATAGAAACCCTAATCTGTTAAAGTTAGAGAGAGAGAGACAGAGAGAGAGAGAGGGAAAGAAAGGGTGAAGAAGAACCTGTTGAAATGAAGCCCTAGATTAGGTATGTTCTTAGTTTCTTCAAATCTCTTCTTCGATCTTCTTCTTTTCTTCATTTTTCTTGTTCTTTCTTCGGTTCTTCTGTTCTTCTGTTCGTCTATGTTCATCTCTCTCTCTCTCTCTCTCTCGCTAGTGTTCTGACTCTCTCTCCTAGCGTTTGACTCACTCGATATCTCTGTTCTATTCTATTAATTTTTTTTTCCTATGGTAAATTACAAATATACACCCTGAGATTTGCTTAAAGTAAAGATTATAAATACCCCATTGTTAGAATTTTTTATTTTACAGAATCAATTAAAAAAAAATTCATAATTGCTCTCCTATACAATAATAAATTACCTAAATTGTTAATTGAAACATATTTCTAATATCATTAAAAACTGTTAATTGATTTCATGATTTATTAATAAAATGGACAATTTGTTATGCAATTAGAAACCTCAGGGGGTGAAATGTAATTTCTAAAAACACATGGGATGATTTGTATTTTAATCAAATGTTAGGAGGTGTATTTGTAATTTACTCTTTCTTCTAATAATATATATAAATATATATTATATACTAATATATGTACATATATATTTATATACTAATATACTAATATATATATATTTGAAATTTTTTTTCCCCCTGTCCCCTTTTTCCCTTTTTCTATTTTTTAGGTATTATTATTTGCTTAAATAAATTATTTTTATTATAGGAATATTTTAATTTGTGAATGATATTTTATTTTAAAATAAATAAATAATATTTATATTTTTTAATTTTACATATAATAAATAAATAAAATTATATATATTGAGAGTGTCTCCAGTGTATCATGTCCTTTGATGTTTGAAAATTTGCGTATCTGCGTGTTCGTGTTGTATTCCGTGTTCATGTTCGTGGTGTATATGTTTGTATATAGATATGTAGAGATATGTTTCCTGTTTCCTAAAAAAAAAAAAAAAAAAAAAGAAAAAAAAAAAAAGAAAAAAAGAAAAAAAAAAGAAAAGGAAAATGAAAGAAAAAAGAAGATGAAGAAGATTGATTGCTGCACTTTATTCTTGCTCATTGAAATCAATAATATATGTATTTACACTAGCTTGCATGTTCATGTTTGCATTTATATCTGTTTACTTTCATATTTTATTTGTTGTACTAACAGATGATGTGGCAATTATTGTACTGGTGTTGGGTATTTGTAACTTGTATAATAAATATGGTCAATAATAATTCATAACACTAGTTGGTATACTACTATACTAGTGTGTACACTAATTGGTGCATGTAGCACCACGGTATAATTATTATTGTTTTTGGGGAAAAGAAGGGTAGGTTTGTAAAGCCATCAAGAGTGTTAAGACTTTGCTCTATTGTTTGTCTCATTTTGTTTGATATGGCCGTTATCATCTCTTTCAGAGTTTTTATCTCAACAGCATTACCCCTTGCCAAATCCAACATGTCTTTCATTTTTCAGCAGTTTACTTCTTCACATCAAGCCCAGTCATAACCCTCCAAAGTTCGGCTATAGCCTCTGGCATGGGTTTGTCCCAAACTGAATACAAATTCTCCTCCTCTAAGAAGCGAGTCTAGGGCGCCCTGAATCAACAAAAGTTTCGACGCAATTTCGTAACATACAGATTACACAAAATTGTTAGAAAATTAAAAAAAAAAAAATGAAACAGTATAAAATTCAAATCCTACCCATTTCTAATTGATTCAGAGTTTCCTGGTGTCCCGAGGCCACCTTCTCCTTCATGTTTGCCTCAAAAACCTCCCATTCCTTCCTTCACTTCTGTTTCTCTGACACGCTATTTTCTCCATAAAATAGCATCATCATCTTGTCCAACAACACAGCACACCTACAACTATAAGACATAAAAAAATCAAAAAAAAATCATTAAAAAACCATAGAAAAAAAACAATGTACTAGTTTTTCTTCTTGAAAAATCATGGCCTTATTTGGTTTAACTCTCAAAACACAATTTTGAAAAGAATTTCTAAAATTTTGTTTGGTTGAAAATTTTTTGAATTTTTTTTTTCAAAGTCACTCTCTTCTACACATCAATTAATCACTTTTTCTCTCTCCTCCTTCTCAGTCACTTTTTCTCTCACGCACATCTATTCAACTACAACGAAATATCAAAATCACTAATCATGTAATGGTCCATGTACAAGATACCAATAAGAAATAACCCAATTTCTAAGTAATTAAAAAATGGAGAGTTTGGTTTGTATTTTTAGATAAATTTTCAAAAAAAAATTTAGGGAGTTTACAAATTTTGGGGTTTGTTTAGTTGTATATTTTGAAAATAGTTTTAGAGTTTGGAATAAATTGATATTTTGTTGTAGTTGAGTAGATGTGTGCGAGAGAAAAAATGATTGAGAAGGAGAAAGGAGAGAAAAGAGAGAAAAAGTGATTGATTGATGTGTAAAATAGATATAATTTTGAAAAAAAAAATCAAAAAATTTCCAACCAACCAAAACAAAATTTTAGAAATTTTTTTCAAAAATTGTGTTTTGAGAGTTAAACCAAATAAGGCCATGATTTTTCAAGAAGAAAACTAGTGATTGTTTCAATGATTTTTTAACGAAAATTTTTGATTTTCTATGTCTTGTAGTAGTAAGTGTGCATGTGTTGTCGGACAAGATGACAATGCTATTTACGGAAAAAAATGGCATGTCAAAGAAACAGAAGCGAAGGAAGGAATGGAGATTTTTTAGGCAAACATGAAAGAGAATGTGGCCTCTGGACACTAGGAAACTCTGAATCAATCAAAAATTGGTAAGATTTGAATTTTATACTGTTTCATTTTTGTTTAATTTTCTAACTATTTTTGTGTAATATGTAGGTTTTCGAAACCTGTGTCAAAACTTTTGTTGATTCAGGGGCGCCCTGGACTCGCTTCTCAGAGGTGAAGGAATTTGTATTCGGTTCGGGACAAACCCATGCCAGAGGCTATGGTCGAACTTTGGAGGGGTATGAGCAAAGAAGCAAACTGCTGAAATGAAAGACTGATGAGATGAAAACTCTAAATGAAATCGTAACGACCATATCAATCAAAATGAACATTCCTGTTCCAGTTTCCCCCATGTTACACCTGGTTCACCCTCGCCACCACCACCTCCACCTCCACCAATCTCTAACCGTGGAGGAGGTAATGGTGTAACGGTGATTAGTGATAGTAGTAAGGTTGATTTCAGTTTTTTTAATGATGATCTGAGTGAGTTTTTAGAGTTTTTAGTTTGTTTCAGTGCTTCTTCTTCTTTTTTATTTATTTATTTTTTTTTCCGCTGGACCGGTGGTGGAAATTAAGATGCTTTTATTTGTAAGAGAATGAGTTTTAGTAATGGTAAGTCTGCTATATCTTTTTTAAAGATTTCATAGCCCATAAAACATATGAATTCGTTTTTCAAGTGTCTAACGCCACGTTTTGCCTCGTGCAGCTACATTCAAGTTATTGTACTAGGAGAAGCTTCACAGTTTTATAGACTATGAAATCTTTAAAAAAAGATATTAGCAAACTTACCATTACTGAAACTCATTCTCTTACAAATAACAGCATCTTAATTTTCACCATCCATAGAAAAAAAAAAAAAAAAAACGCTGAAACATACTTACCAAAAACTCTAAAAACTCACACAGATCATCATTGCCGAAAAACTGTAATCAATCAAAACTGTAATCAAACAACTTACTATCACTAATCACCGTTACCTCCTTTGCCATTACCTCCTCCATCGTTACAAATCGGTGGAGGTAGAGGTGGTGGTGGCAATGGTGAATCAGGTGCAACTTGGAGGGAAACTGTAACAAGAATGTTCATTTTGCTTGATATGGCCGTTACCATCTCTTTCAGAGTTTTTATCTCAGCAGCATTACCCCTCAACATATCCAACACGTCTTTCACTTCAGCAGTTTGCTTCTTCGCATCAAGCCAGTCATACCCTTCAAAGTTCGACCATAGCCTTTAGCATGGGTTTGTCCTAAACCGAACACAAATTCCCGCCACCTGAGAAACGAATCTAGAGAGCCTAATCAATTTTTCTAAAATTTCGTTTGTTTGAGAAGTTTTTTCAAAAAAAAAAATTCAAAATCACTCTCTCGTACACATTAATTAATCACTTTTTCTATCTTCTCTCTCTTTCTCAATCATTTTTTTTTTCACACACATCTACTCAATTACAACGAAATATCAAATCACTCATCAAATAGTGGTCCATGTATAGATACCAATAAGAAATAACCCCATTTCTATGGAAAAAAAAGGTGTTTAGTTTATATTTGAGGTAAATTTTGGAGAGAGAATTTAGAAATTTCTTTTTTGTTTGTTTAGTTGTACATTTTAAAAATAGTTTTGGAGTTTAGAATGATTTGATATTTTGTTGTAGTAAGTAGATGTGTATGAGAAAAAAGTGATTGAGAATGAGAGAGGAAAGAGAAAAATTAATTGATTGATGTGTAGAAGAGAGTGATTTTGAAGAAAAATTTCAAAAAAATTTCAACACAAACAAAAATTTAGAAATTTTTTTCAAAAATTTTGTTTTGAGAGTAGATTGTTTCTATGATTTTTTAATGAATTTTTTATGTCTTGTAGGTGTGCCAATTTTGTCGGACAAGATGACAATACCATTTTATTGGAAAAAAATGACATGGTGGAGAAATAGAAGCGAAGGAAGGAATGGGAAGTTCTTAAGGCAAACATGAAGGAGAAGGTGGCCTCGAGACACCAGCAAACTCTGAATCAATCAGAAATTAAATAGGATTTGAATTTTATACTGTTTCGTTTTTTGTTTAATTTTTTCTAACTATTTTTGTGTAATATGTAGGTTTCAAAATTGTGTCGAAACTTTTGTTGATTCAGACGCCCTAGACTCACTTCTCAGAGGTGGAGGGAATTTGTATTCGGTTCGGGACAAACCCATGCCAAAGCTATGGTCAAACTTTGGAGGGATATGACTGGGCTTGATGCGAAGAAGCAAACTGCTGAAGTGAAAGACGTGTTGATTTTACAGGGGTGTAATGCTGCTGAGATGAAAACTCTGAATGAGATTGTAACGGCCATATCAATCAAAATGAACATTCATGTTCCAGTTTCCCCCCATTTTACACCTGGTTCACCATCGCCCACCACCCCTCCACCGATCTCTAACTGTGGAGGAGGTAATGGTGATAACGGTGATTAGTGATAGTAGTAAGGTTGATTTTAGTTTTCTGTAATGATGGTCTGAGTGAGTTTTTAGATTTTTGGTAAGTTTGTTTCAGTGTTTTTATTTATTTATTTATTTTT